AGATGTGGTACACAAGTGCGGAGGCCACACAGTATTATGTGGTACACAAGTGCGGAGGCCACACAGTATAATGTGGTACACAAGTGCGGAGGCCACACAGTATTATGTGGTACACAAGTGCGGAGGCCACACAGTATTATGTGGTACACAAGTGCGGAGGCCACACAGTATTATGTGGTACACAAGTGCGGAGGCCACACAGTATTATGTGGTACACAAGTGCGGAGGCCACACAGTATTATGTGGTACACAAGTGCGGAGGCCACACAGTATTATGTGGTACACAAGTGCGGAGGCCACACAGTATTTTTCTGTAAGTAGAATTGTAATTGGTTTATCCATTAATTGTTTCCACACTGGATCCTGTCCAACCACATCTGCCTAAGTTGTATCAAGTTGCATTCAACTTGGCTTAACTCATTCACCCCTGACATTTCACAATGAATTATTCCAACCTTTGAATTGGAAGAGTTCAAATGTGTCTTCAGGGATGAATGAGTTAATGCAATGACGTACATACTTATGCATAAGTTATTTAAGTGAAGTTGATAATTTTGAATTCTAAGATCCTGAACTCTTGTTTTTAGCTACTACTTAATTAGCCGTATAATAGCATGTAAGTTAGCAAATACAGATGGTCAGCAAACCAGTGGCACAAACTCCCAAACTAGTAAATGAGTTTTCTGTCAAAATCTCAGTTATTGAGTCTACCTCTATGTACACTGATGTATTGCAGGTATTGTCACTGAGTAGGAAATTGTGTTTAACAGAAACTTGTATAATCTCATAACCATTACTCAATGGACATTGACAACTTAGAATCAATGGACATTGACAACTTAGAACAACTTTTCTTAAGTAAATGGAATGTTGGGGGTTTTTGACACAAGATTCAAATTGAGTTGAATGAGCATTTCGCTGAAATAAGCACCCATGGAGTGGTGATATTTACACCATAAATACGACAACAAATCTAGAGGGCCTGTACTGCTAACCTGGACATTTAGACACATAAATTACCCATAGTTCACTAGGAGACGGCCAACTACGGTTCTCTTATTTAGATTTCTGTTGGTTCTGTTACCGGATACCATACTGTATGCAGGACGATTGAAGAATAGGGAAAACTAAGTAAACAAGTCAATCGCAACAAGCTTGGATCAGTTGAGTTATATTTATTAGGAAATATCTACCAGTTTCGCCTGAACAGTCGATGGTAGACGTTTCCTAATAAACAAAACTCAACTTATCCCGAGCTTGTTGTGATTGACTTCTATACATAAATTATAAAGGCGTTTTGTGCTCAGCCTGGGGGACCTACATTCCTCTTTTACTCAACATGGATTCCCAGATCAAAGGGATCAAGGATAGAAAATATGGCTTAATTCAATATTATTTGTATATGGGTATAGAGGGGATTGCAACTGTTTAACGTGAATGCATTCATTTCCTCAAGACAAGCAACGGTTACAGGGCTGGATCACATCCATTTTGATGCTGTGACTGGGGGTCTAAGCCCCCTGGGATGGTGATGGACCAATGAAAGGTCCTACTTTGGAAGCATGTGTATCACTTCCATTTTGATGTAGTTTGGTGTATTTGTCTCACTTTGTTCAATGTTTTGTATGTAGGGTTTTGATCTAAAGTGTTTACAAGTTATGACCGAGTATCACTAGTGGGCCTTGCACCAGGGTGAGGACAGACCCAAGAGCAAATTGTGGTAGTATGAAGGTATTTGTTTAATGTATTGAGCATGGGTATATACAGTTAAAGGGTCAGGATTATGATTCCATATCACCCAAATTCCCTATTGGGCTTCACTTCTGGGGTGGTGACAGAGCCCAGGGTAGATTTTTGAGGCAAATGGTGTGTATTCATCCTTTTATGTCAAACTAATGTTTAAATAGTTTTCTTACACAATGCACTGTTATTGGTCCATATATACTGAGCTCAACTTTTTTCTGCTATTTGTTAATTTACCATTACCAAATCAATACCTTTGTCTGAATTATTTTTTTATACACAGTGGACAAACGTTATGTGACTGTGAAATAGGTATACATGCAACAGGAGAGGAAAAATGAAATGCCAGACTGGGATTCAAACCTTGGACCCTTCCACCTTTAGACAGACACTTTACCAATTGAGGTACCTGCTTGCCAGCGATCGACCAAGTCCAGTTCTGATAACATTCCTCCCTCCTTTTTCTAAGTCTTTGCCCTGAAGCCAACACTATTTACAACCCACAGCAATTCTTTGATGGGAGATAGAGGAATGCATGGAAAGACAGGGATTGGAACTCTGAACCCTCTGAACTCTAGATGGACACTCTAACAAGCGAGCTATCCAGTGGCGATGAACAATCCAGTCAAGTTCCACTACATTCCTTCCTCAAGTAACAAAGTCTCTGACCCCTAAGACACACAAGACCATTTACTACCTTCTGTGGGCCCCAAATGTAACAGTACAATATGAAATGCTCAGTCAGAGCATGTTTCAAACCTGGGACACTCCAAACTCTGGAAGGAGGCTCTACCAGTTGATCTACCTGGTCGCTGGTGATCAGCCAGCTGCCTGCTATCTTGGATTTGTGATGGTGGACATGATGTGATACGAAGAAAGTGGTAACATTTTCAGATTCATATCGCATCCTGTTCACCACACAAGGCCATAAGTGGTTGTCTGTAAGACATTTTGGATGTCCATAAGTGGTTGTCTGCAAGACATTTTGGATGTCCATAAGTGGTTGTTTGTAAGACATTTTGAATGTCTATAAGTGGTTGTCTGTAAGACATTTTGAATGTCCATAAGTGGTTGTCTGTAAGACATTTTGAATGTAAGGTTTTCTGCTATGATTTAGTGCAAAGTTTCCAGCTCAGCTAAAAAGAACAGGCATGTTGATCAATACAATATTTTTTTTATGTTAAAAGATTACCAAACACAATAAGCTGTTCAAATATTCACCCTTCAAACAACCAGCCCAGTGTAGAGGATTCCCGTCAAGGCTATATTAAGAAATCATTATTCACCAGAACAGGTCTACATGAGAATTAGGTGTAAAAGATATGGGGTTGTGAGATATTACCAAGTATATCATAAAACTTTATTGCATGTTCAAAGGACTAATACACCGTCACATGGTCATCATGTTACAGTATTCCAATATAAAAACAAGAGGCCCACAGGGCCTCTATAGCTCACCTGGATATCTTAGCAATCATGACAAAATATTCTCCAAATCAGCTTGATCAAAGGAAATATGCCAGACCCCAAGGCCAATCCTTGTAGCATATCTGTATTAGTTTTGTTCATGCCCAGCAATTTTATGTATGGCTATGGGGTGGGGATCTCAACTGTTTCCAAGCTGTGACTTAGAAATTAGATCCCTGTGGTTGTGGCCAGACCCCAGGATCAAATATAACATCATCACTGCATTCGTCTCTTTTTGCCCAGTATTTGTATTTATAGTTTTGAGGTGGGGATCTCAACCGTTTCAAAGTTATGACCCAGGGGTTAAGTCTGCAAGGGTTGGGCAGACCCTGGGGTCAATTTTAATATTGTGACTGCATTCATCTCTTTATCCCCAACAATTGTATATATTGTTCTAGGGTAGGGATCTCAACCGTTTCAAAGTTATGACCCAGGGACTATGTCTCCAATGGTGGGGCCAGACCCTAGGGCCATCCTGGAAGCAAATGTGCATTCTTCTCTTTATACTCAGCAATTCTATATATGGGTATATGGTGGGGATCTCAACAATTTCAAAGTAATAAACTTTTTTTGGCCCCACCCCTTAGCCCGGGGGGTCAGCCCCACCAAATGTACAATTTTGAATCCCTGTCTCCCATGAATGCTTTTGATCAAATATGATTGATATCCAGTGCATAGTTCTACAGAAGAAGTCGTTTATAGCAATATAACCAAATTGCCCCCTTTTGGCCCTGCCCTCAGCCCCCAGGGGGGTCAGCCCCACCATTTGTACAATTTTGAATTTCCACTACCTAGGGATGCTTCCAGTTAAATATGGCTGATATCCATCTTTTAGTTCCAGAGAAGAAGTCACTTAAAGCAATATTGTCAAATTGCCCCCTTTTTGCCCCGCCCCTCAGCCCCCTTGGGGGTCAGCCCCACCATTTGTACAATTTTGAATCCCCACCACCTACCGATGCTTCCAGTCAAATTTAGTTAAATTCAAATCAGTGGTTAAAAAGAAGAAGTCGTTATAAAGAAATTGTTGACGTACGGACAGACGACGGATGTAAGCTCACCTTGGTCCTTCGGACCAGGTGAGCTAACAATATCCATATTTGTTGAAGGTTTTCGAAAGATACATGTCATTAACAATGGCCTGAACTTAACTCCCATCACAGAAAAGTGGAAAAGATTACATTACTTAAATTTTTAAAAACAGGGCAAAAAGAGCAAATATCTTTTACAAAATCAAGGATAGGTATTAAATAACTGTTTTATTTCATAACTTAAAATAATATAAACTACAATTCTTTTTATTATTGAAAGCTATGCCTACTGTTAAATGAAGCTATGGAGCCCAGCCCAAGTCCCTGGGAAGGGGCAGGAACCCAAATTTTACAACATGATACCCTTTTCCATAAAGAATGGCTTTGACCAAGATTGAAAAAACTATTTTTGCTAGTTCTGAAGAAGTCAGTTATGTGAAAACAAAAAGGTAACACCACAACACTGGATGAGAACTTGAGCTGTTGCCTAGGTACCCTAATTATAAAAGGTAACACCACAACACTGGATGAGAACTTGAGCTGTTGCCTAGGTACCCTAATTATAAAAGGTAACACCACAACACTGGATGAGAACTTGAGATGTTGCCTAGGTACCCTAATTATAAAAGGTAACACCACAACACTGGATGAGAACTTGAGCTGTTGCCTAGGTTCCCTAATTATCAATTATATATGTATATGATATCAGATCATTGGCAACTATATAACTTAAAGAATATAATAAATACACATACATTACTTCTACAGAATTTATTAATAATCTGGATGATGAAAAATGCAACAAATATACTGTACACAAAAGACAGTTTCTGGAAATGAAAGGCACAGCTATAATCTTATACCGGTACTTGTATAAAATGACATCTATATGTACAGGGATATTCTTTAATTACACTGGTGACTCTATAAAGTGACATCCATGTACAGGCATATTCTTTATACTGGCAACAATGATAACTTTATACTGTGACACCTGTGTATATAGTGACATCAAAATGACATGACATCTCTAAAGAGTGACACATTTGTACTGTGACACCTGTGTATATAGTGACATCAAAATAACATGACATCTCTAAAGAGTGACACATTTGTACTGTGACACCTGTGTATATAGTGACATCAAAATAACATGACATCTCTAAAGAGTGACACATTTGTACTGTGACACCTGTGTATATAGTGACATCAAAATAACATGACATCTCTAAAGAGTGACACATTTGTACTGTGACACCTGTGTATATAGTGACATCAAAATAACATGACATCTCTAAAGAGTGACACATTTGTACTGTGACACCTGTGTATATAGTGACATCAAAATAACATGACATCTCTAAAGAGTGACACATTTGTACTGTGACACCTGTGTATATAGTGACATCAAAATAACATGACATCTCTAAAGAGTGACACATTTGTACTGTGACACCTGTGTATATAGTGACATCAAAATAACATGACATCTCTAAAGAGTGACACATTTGTACTGTGACACCTATATGTATACAGTGACATCAAAATAACATGACATCTCTAAAGTCTCAGTGCCAAACATGCCAGACATTTAAACTGTCTGTCAAGTTGTGACTGAAATAAAAGGATAACAGAAAAATAGATAAGCACCCCCTACCTTGAAGGTGTAAAAATATGGAAAAGAAAGGAATCAAGTGAGAGATGAATATTAATAAATGGCTTAATTCTGATGTGCCTTGTACAAGACTTCAAAATACCATTCACCCTGTAGAATTTAACATCTCACAAATATCTGTCGATTCTGTTTCTCACTTGTTTGGTCTTGTGCGATAGCCAAAAACACTATGATACATTACTGATACTGGCACGGTGATAATACTAAAAGTCTTTTATTTCTTGGCTAAAATTTAGTAACAACAGAATTGTCAGAATGTTGTATAATTACTTCTCAGGCTAATAACTGATATTCATCACGAATATCGTAAATACATACCTGTTGTATTTTTCAATTTCAAAAATTGTATTTTAAAAAGTTGAACATGACACATCAAAAGCCAATACACATTTCTACATTTTACTTTATCTATTGGTCACAGATACATGTGTTAATGTGGGTGTCATCATTTGATGACATCCTGAATACGAGTACTCCTAAGCTAGGTCATTATAAAAGTCAAGTGCTCTAAGTGAGGGAAAGTGCTATAGCCACTCTGTCTCAAAGTTTGTATATAGTTTACATCATCACTGAATTACATCAAGAGGGATGCCCACGGTATAACATGCTCCTAATTCTTGCCTCAATCTCCTTGTCTTCGTCATAGTCAAGGTCATTAGGGTCAATGTAAACATGCTTTTTCTTCCACAGATGTGCGATTTTAGACTCTTTTGTCCATTTTTGCGACTGATTATATATCGAAGAAATACCCCCCTTGGGTACATGGTCTACATTATCCAGTGAACCTACTTTTGGTGAAGCTAATTCCTCCCATTTTTCCTTAAAATGAGGTACCTGAAACTTGGGTTTGTTTGGGATGTGGTTAGCATTGTCCAGTGATCCAACCTTTGACTCTGATTTCCATTTTGGTTTTAAATCTGGTACAACAATGTTTCCTCCTCCTGGCTGATGAAGTATTTTTTCCAAAGATCCAACTTTTGCTTCTGTTTTCCAGTTTGGTTTGCCATAGAGGGGGATTTCTAATTTTCCTCCATATGTCTCATAGTCAATGTTATCCAAAGATCCCACCTTGGCTTTCGCCGTGTTTTTCTTTTTCATCAAATGTGCAGTACCACCTGGAACAAAATGAATGGAGCTGAATGGTCCTGAGAAGGCCTGCCCACCGTATCGTGCCTTAATCTTTGGAAGGACCACGCCGTTTCCCCCACTTGATGGGTTGCCCTGGAGACTGGAGTCTGACCCAAAGTAGCGCTTGTCATAGTCTACGTTATCTAGTGATCCCACTTTTGCTTTTGCTTCCCACCTCAGCTTGTAATTTGGCACCTTTTTGACACCTCCACCTGGTATATGATCAACATTATCAAGGGAACCAACTTTAGCATCTGATGACCATGGCATGTTGATAGGTGGTAGGTAGGGCTCCTGGTAAGATCGGTCAAAAGAATGTTCGATGTGGTTGCCTTTTGTTCCCCATTTCCAGGCCGGTTTAAGACTGCGGAATTTAATGTCTGGGTCATAAGATCCACTTTCCTTTTCCAGTTTTTCCAAGAATTCGATTTCATGGTGACGATCAGAGAAATTTGTGTGTATGGCCCGTTGCTCCACAACAACGTAGCGACCATCTCTTGGACGTTTGTGCACAGACACGATTGGGAATCGCCCAAAGTAGCTACTACGATGAGGCACATACAAAACTGTTTTTATTGGTATTTTCTCCTCCTCATCTTTCTTGAGGTGTTTGAATGCAGCCTCCCGTATAGCCTTCTCCGAGGGATTAAGGTTCTTGACTTGCCTGTTCTTCATCACGGGACAACTTTTAAGATATAACAAATCAAATCATCATACGAAAAATTCCATCACTTTCTTTGAAATGTTTAATATGGCATAATGTAGGAAAATGAAGTTTGGGTACAGCCATTTAAAGTGAGGACCTCACACAAGTTATTATCATCCATCGTCACAGTAACAAAAGTAGGCATTCTCCACCACTACCATAAGACTCCACACAATGATCAGGTTTCCAAAGTCGAATCAGATGTCCACATCAGGTGTCCCCATACCATAGCCACTGGTAAGGGTTGACAAGGATCAATATCTATATACTTCCCATGTTACCGGGCTTTGAATCACTATATTTGGTTTAGTGACAGGTAATGCTCAGGTGGTAAACAGGTAAATCCAGTCAGATACAAGTCAGGCATTCAAGTGATAAATCAGCCTCATACCTCAACACAATCCAAAATGTTAACAGGAAATTAAACTGTAGCACTTCAGGCAGAATCATACTTATACTGACAGGCTTAGAATATTGTTTATCAGGGATTTAAACTTTTCAACATATTAAAACTCTGCTTTAAGGAATGTCATTTAAAATTGTTCAAGTACGTCCTTTTTTATATGTTTATACTACTGCCATAATATTTTAGCTGTTAATGGATCAATTGAAGTGTTTCCTTAGGATTGAGTCAGCATGCTGTAGCCCTTCACACTGTGTTGTAGAGCTCCCCAGCTATTTGTATAAGTCAATATAAGACCTCTCCTGTTTTGTTGGTAGTTCCTGATTATCTTAGAGACATTTTATCATGTTATACTTAAGTCCTCCACCTGCTGATTAAGTATCAGATGTTGGCAGTTGAAACACTATTTTTTAATCTGTTCTAAGGTGAATGTTCACATAGAGAGTCGGGTTAGATAGTCACTGGGCTGGTATCTCGACTCCACTACCAGGTCGTTTGATAAAGTTCCCTCAAAATCAGTGTATTGAAATACGACGGCAGATAAATATTTAAATCCCACTTACACCATTGTACATGCTATCATAGTGAAGGAGTCAGAAATAATTTCAATTCGAAGATGTCTTGTCCAAATCCAAGCCTAGTGAAATGACAACACAATAGATTTAAAGATCATTTCAGTCCCGAATTAATCCACCATAAAAATAAACTTGCTATGAAGTGTCAGCGATTAAGCATACAATAAGCTGAAGTAGGCGCTGTCACAATCCTACAGGACAGTTTCTCTGTTAGTAGATACAGGTACAGATGTTGAATTTACAAGGTGAATAGTTACAATAATGTCTGATTTCTGTTAGAATTCATAAGCCCTTCAAACTCTCACAGGTAATAAAATGTATGGTTACAGAATCTCGTTCCCGGTGAAGTTTTTAGCTGTACCTGGGTTTAAGCCCAGAATGAAATGAAAATGTATTGATATTCTTTCAGACTTTAAAAACAATTATGCTTAACACTATAGTGGCCTAATGTATTTCATTGATCAGCAGGTCAGGTCTGCCTGGCACCTGTCCAGTAATTAAGTACATGTACTCTATAAATACAGTATCATTTTTCCTGTACTATAATGCTAACACCTCATGTTCTAGATAGATTAACCCATTATCAGTGGATTATAACAATACAACAAAAAACTTTCTATTTAACCCACTTAGACATATAAAAATAATTTGACCCACCTATACTACTAACCACCTTAGAGAATAATTCAACCCACCTACTAACCACCCCAGAGAATAATTCAACCCACCTACGAACTACCCCAGAGAATAATTCAACCCACCTACTAACCAACCCGGAGAATAATTCAACCCACCTTCTAACCACTTCGGAGAATAATTTTTCCAAACTTCTAACCACCCCAGAGAATAATTTATCCCAGCTTCTAACCACCCCATAGAATAATTTAACCCAGCTACTAACCACCTCAGAGAATAATTTAACCCACCTACTAACCACCTCAGAGAATAATTTATCCCAGCACCTAACCACCCAAGACAATTATTCAGCCAATTCTGTTTAACAAATAACAAAAACTTCTATCTGGAAGTAAAATGAAAAATAAACTTAAAAAATAATTGGTCAATTTTAGCTTAATTAGAGGGTACAAGTCCATTCTTTTCTTTTCGTTTTTATTTTGTATGAATAGAAAGCCTTCAAAGTATTTTCTTTCAAAATGTGTTAAGTACACCGCAATTCAAACTGAGAGAAGTGATCAGTCTACTTAAACATGTGTAAAGTACACAGTAGTGCTAAAGGAGAAAATACTTCATAATACAACAAAATATATAAAGGGCAAAAAGAATCTGATACTATTCAGTGTTAATATTTCTCTTAGACAGTAGAACTTTATACTTCAGATCAAATTACCTATACAGGGAGGGGGGGTCAAGAAACTATCAAGAGTCGAAAAAGAACTGTGTTAGTTAAAGTTCACTGTGTGTCATTACTGTGTTCTTTATAACACATCCAAGTGTCAGAATGTTCTATTTTTTTATTTATGAATTTCACATGAATGGGCGGATTGGCCGAGTGGTTAACTCTCCGGCCTTCCAAGCAGGCGGCCGGGGTATGTCCTAAAGCTGAATGTATCTGAACCTGTATGTCCTAAAGCTATATGTCCTAAAGCTGTATGTATCTAAACCTGTATGTCCTAAAGCTGCATGTATCTGAACCTGTATGTCCTAAAGCTGTATGTATCTGAACCTGTATGTCATAAGCTGTATGTCCTAAAGCTGTATGTATCTAAACCTGTATGTCCTAAAGCTGTATGTCCTAAAGCTGTATGTATCTTAACCTGTATGTCCTAACCTGTATGTCCTAAACCTGTATGTATCTGAACCTGTATGTCCTAAACCTGTATGTCCTAAAGCTGTATGTATCTTAACATGTATGTCCTTAAGCTGTATGTATCTAAACATGTATGTCCTTATGCTGCATGTATCTGAACCTGTATGTCCTTATGCTGCATGTATCTGAACCTGTATGTCCTAAAGCTGTATGTATTTGAACCTGTAAGTCCTAAAGCTGTATGTATCTAAACCTGTATGTCCTTAAGCTGTATGTATCTGAACCTGTATGTCCTTACGCTGCATGTATCTGAACCTATATATATCCTAAAGCTGTATGTCCTAAAGCTGTATGTATCTGAACCTGTATGTCCTAAAGCTGTATGTCCTAAAGCTGCATGTATCGGAACCTGTATGTCCTAAAGCTGTATGTATCTAAACCTGTATGTCCTAAAGCTGTATGTATCTGAACCTGTTTGTCCTTACACTGCGTGTATCTGAACCTGTATGTCCTAAAGTTGCATGTATCTGAACCTGTATGTCCTAAAGCTGTATGTATCTGAACCTGTATGTCCTAAAGCTGTTTGTATCTAAACCTGTATGTCCTAAAGCTGTATGTAACTGAACCTGTATGTCCTTAAGCTGTATGTATCGGAACCAGTATGTCCTTAAGCTGTTTGTCCTAAAGCTGTATGTATATAAACCTGTATGTCCTAAAGCTGTATGTCCTTAAGCTGTATGTATCGGAACCTGTATGTCCTTAAGCTGTTTGTCCTAAAGCTGTATGTATCTGAACCTGTATGTCCTTAAGCTGTTTGTCCTAAAGCTGCATGTATCGGAACCTGTATGTCCTTAAGCTGTATGTATCGGAACCTGTATGTCCTAAAGCTGTATGTTTATCATTTCATAACATTAGTCCTATTGGTTAAACAGAAGTAGTTTTAATGGTACCTTGTCATTCAGAAGTCATTTTTTTTTTTACAAATATGACCTATTTGAGCTTGAAAAGGAATAAAGGTCGTTCATTTCAATACACTTCATATAGTCCTTTATCTCAGCATGTGTACTAGCCAAATGGCATAGCCATGCAATGCTCTTTGTTACGCTGAAGAATGTGCTGAAAGATAGGATCATATTTGACCCTGTGACAGTTGGTCCATGTTATCATATTTGACCCTGTGACAGTTGGTCCATGTTATCATATTTGACCCTGTGACAGTTGGTCCATGTTATCATATTTGACCCTGTGACAGTTGGACCATGTTATTCATTTTAACAAACTTCTTAGTCTTCTATCCTAGCATGCTACATGCCACATGTCATGACCCTAAGCTTCTTGGTTATTCAAATGAGGTACCATAATTTCATGTTTAACACATTTGACCTCTGTTACCATTGGAACTGGGTCAATGTCATTCATTTAAACAACCTTGACACCACTTGAACAAACTTAACACCCCTCTACCAAAGTATGCCACAGGCCAAATATTACGACCCTAGACTGCTTGATTATTGAGAACTTGTTTCAAGGTTAATATTTGACCTATGTGGCCTTGTAATGGAGTCAAGGTCATTTGATTGAACAAAATTGATCACTCTTTACAAACATGATTTGCTACTGACAGTCTAAATATCAGGACTCCAGACCTTGATCTTGGTTCAAGTTGTTAAAATATTTCAATACTTCTGGCCCCTGAGTACCTTAAAAAACAGAGGTCATTCATTTAAACAAACTTGACGGTCCTTCATTCCATCAAGAAACTTGCCAAATATCATCTCCAAACATCCCTTGGTTATTCAAATTAAGTTGTTAAAGTGTTGTAACTAATTTGACCCCCCTAACCTTGACAGATGGTCAATGTAATTCATGTTTGCCCTTCATGCAAGCATGCGTCTGGCCAAATATCATAAATCTATGGCTCTAGGTTATTAAGAAGAATAGTTGAACAAGTCTTATTAATCTTCATGATTTCTAAATATTCAGAAGAATTTCTTTATTTTTTTTTAACAAATTTGACATATGTAACTTTGAAAGTGGGTCAAAGTCATTCATTTAAACAAATTTAATAGCCCTTCATCTCAGTATGTTATTTACCACTATTATCACCCTAGGCCTATGGGTCAAGGTCATTCATTCACCCAAGACCTTTCATAGGGCATTTAAAACTCTACCCACAAATGACCCCAGTGATCCTGAATGTGGGTCTTTCAACAAACTTTGTAGCTCTCCATTTTTTGACTCAAGGACTGTTAGTAATGTAGTAGAAGTTATTTAAGTGTTTTAACAAATTTGCCCACTGTGACTACACACATAAATCAAGGTTATTTCTTTTCACAAAGTTTGTAGCAATCTGATTTGTGGAAAGATTTTGCTTAACATACATTTGGGTGCTATAAAAATTTCATAACAATCCAACTGCTAGTTTGTTGGCAAAAGATTTTTTTAGATGCCAAAAATTTTACCCCTTAATATGGGCCCCTGAAAAAGGCCAGCCTTTCTATCCTTAGCAAATCTGATTTCCAATCGCCTAGGAATACTTCCAACATATATTCTATACAGTGGTTATTAGGTAGAAGCAGTTTAAGGATTAGGTTCATTGACAACAGATGGCATCGGATTGCATAAAGAGTAATTGGCCCTTTTGGCCAGGTGATCCAAACAGGTGACACACATAATTAAGCTCACAGGCACTTCACGTCAGGTGAGTCAAAACTAGTAAATGTTGGTAAAACATGTATATATGCCCAGCCTGCTCTTGTTTTGATGGAAGTGGAGCTTATGCAAGGACCAACTAAAAAACATGGAGCTAAATGCAAAGTTTAAAAAAAGGTGAAGCAGAGAATATAGGTCACAGTGACCTACATTTGATATATTCGGGTAGGACTCCTCTAGATGTTTCTACATATAAAGTTAAATGATTGAGTGACTTCAAGTATTAGTAAATACAAAGGCCAATACATGTAACAGGTCGACACAACACATACGTCATTGAGAGTACAAGTAACAGATCAACACATACACATACATCATTGAGAGTACAAGTAACAGGTCGACACCCACACATACGTCATTGAGAGTACAAGTAACAGGTTGACACCTACACATACATCATTGAGAGTACAAGTAACATATCGACACCTACATGTACATCATTGAGAGTACAGGGAACAGGACAACACCTACACATACATCATTGAGAGTACAAGAAACAGGTCGACACCTACACATACGTCATTGAGAGAACAGGTAACAGGTCGACACCTACACATACATCATTGAGATTACAAGTAACAGGTCGACACCTACACATACGTCATTGAGAGAACAGGTAACAGGTCGACACCTACACATACATCATTGAGAGAACAAGTAACAGGTCGACAAAAACATGTACGTCATTGAGAGTACAAGTAACTGGTCGACAC